TCTCCCAATCCCTGGGCTTTCTATTGATTTTGCTAGCTATGTCCTTTACCATGCAGAAGCTCTGCAATTTCATGCAATCCCATTTGTCCAACCTTTCTTTGATTTGTTGTGTTTCAGGGTCTCTATTAAGAAAATTTCGGCCTGTGCCAAGGAAACCTAGGGTTTCTCCTATTCCGTCCTGTAATGTTTTCAGAGTGTCTGCTTTGACTTCGAGGTCTTTGATCCATTTGGAGTTGGTTCTGGTACAGGCTGAAATATAAGGATCTAGTTTTAGTTTTCTACAAGTAGTTAACCAATTTTGCCAGCACCATTTGCTAAAGAGGCTGTCTTTCTTCCATTCTATTTTTTTAGCTCCCTTATTGAAGATTAGATGGCTATATGTCTGTAGCTTCATTTCTGGGATTTCAATTCTATTCCATTGGTCCTCAGGTCTGTTCTGGTGCTAGTACCAAGCTGTTTTAATTACTATGGCTTTGTAGTAGAGTTTGAAATTTGGTATTGATATTCCTCCAGCACTATTCTTTCTGTTAAGGATCATTTTTGCTATTTGGGGTCTTTTATTGTTCCATATGAATTTTTGGATTGCCTCTTCTATTTCCTTGAAGAATGAGGTTGGAATATTGATAGGTATCGCATTGAATTTGTAGATAGCCTTGGGAAGTATTGCCATTTTCACGATGTTGATCCTTCCAATTAGTGCCAAATTTTGAAGGAAAAATAGGCAGAATAAAAGCTGAGGAATTGCAGAACCAAAGCCAGGTACAGAAGGCTCCTGCCTGTAATCTTAGCTACGGAGAAGCCTGGGGTCTGAGAATTATAGTTTAAAGGTAACTGGAGTAGACAAAGCTGAGACACTGTTGTCAACCAGAAAACTAGCTAGACTTGGAGGTGTGGCTCAAATGGTTTAGCGCCAGCCTTGATCAAAAGAAGCTAAGCGAGAGATGAGGCTCTGAGTTCAAACCCCAGTGCCAGCAAAAAAATAAAGGCAACAACAATGCCAACAAAACCAGAACCAGCATAAACCTTCTTCCTCCCTTCAACCCTGGAATGGGCTCTACCCAATCACCAAGCTTATTTCTAGAGACTCTCATACTCAGCTGCTAAGCGTTCAACAACCAAGCATTCCTATTAATCACTTTTCCTATCCATGGTGTCTTTGGGACTAATGTCTCCTGTTCTGGTTCCCACTAAGTTTCAGAGCCAGCAGTTAGAACAAGGGAAGAAAGGAAAGCAGAGACTACACCTGCTGTTAGGTAATGTACAAAGATAACTCTCTTTACTCCCTTTGATGTCACCCCCCCTACCGAACATCCCATTGTTCTGGAAAGCTACATTCTTCCAAGAGACACATAGTCAGTCTCTACATCATCCCACACTGCTTTCATGTGTCTCTGAGCTCTGTAGAGGGTGGATAATGAATTAATGTGCAAGAGGCCCAGTTTTTGAACCAGATACAACCCAGGTTAAAATCCTGTCATCAGGCACCGGTCCTTTACACCTGTAATCTCAGCTACTCTGGAGGCTGAGATCGGAAGATCATGGTTTGCAAGTCTATGAGAGTCTTATCTCTTGTGAACTACCAAAATGCCAGGAGTGGCAGGAACAGAGCTGTGGTTCAAGAAGTAGAGTACTAGAGTACCAACAAATACAAAAAAGCAAAATTTTTAATCTACCTGTTGCTATTTGAGTCATTTGAGTTCATGATGTGGACATATATTCTTCAGCCTTCTTGACATCTTTATTTGTGTAAATCAACTATTCAGATATGAATTTGACATCCGCTCTTATGCAGCCACAATCTCCTACCTCATTCCTGTTGAGGGTGTGGTCATGTCATCTCCTCCAGTTGGTTAAACTCAGAAAAAAATCACACTCATCCATTCATGTCTATCCGCTACCCAGCCATATTAAATTTACCTCCTCAATTTCTCCACCACAGATCCAAAGACACCTTATCTTACATGAGCATTGCCCTAGGTACACAATCATGCTTCCATAACTGATGGGCCATCCAGAAGTGATGGGTGGGAGCCTCTTAATGTGTTCAGGCTGGGCTCATCTTTCACATCCTGAAGCGATGTTCTGAGTCAGTCCTCAGAGCTGGTTTTATAGCTTCAGTTCAGGAGCAGAAATGCAGTCTAAATTGTGGGGGTGGTGGGTGGGCATCACGTCTCCATACAGATGAGAAACAGAAATCTGGGGGCATCTGGAGCAGAGTCCTTGAAAAGTTCCGGTCTGCTTTTTACCCCAGGTTGGATGTTTTCAAGTGTGAAGATGTCAGTGACCGAGAGTCCTGTTTGGCAGAGTTGGAGGAAGGAGAGCGCTGTGGAGGAGATGTCACATTGAGTCCTCACCTCATTCATGAATTGTCTCCTGAGTGCTCTGATGTTCCTGGTGCTGCTCACTACCGGGCACCTGTCCAGAGAGGACAGGAGCCCCTGGGACAGCACTGTGCCCTTCCCTTAGCTTCCTGCTTGCATGCCCACTCTTTGTCCATTGTGTTGGGTCAAATGGCTCTCTTTTATCCATTCAGCCAGAGGAGGGCCAGCCCTTAATCTGCACACCTGAAACTTTTCACATTGTTTCAAGTTGCATTCTCCTTGTCCCAGGGAGTCCCAGCCTTGAAGGAATCTAGTGATGGCCTCCAAGGGGACTATGGAGTGCTTTGTCCCTCTTCCCACTCTTTGTTCCACCTCCTCCATGCAGCCCCTCAGACCCTGTGGACACCCTTTCCAAACCCTTGACCTCACCCCTCCTGCAGCACTCACACTCACTCTGGAACTGGACACCTCTCAGAAGGCTCCATGAGACTTCTGAGGTGGGGAGGGACTGCTGTCCCCTTTAGACTTCATTGACTCTGACACTGTGTGACAGTGAACTGGTTGCCTGCTGACCCTTCCTTGGCCTGCCTTCCCTCCCTTTCAACTTACCATCTGTTTCCTATGGATGTAGATGGCAGAGACTCCAACTGCCAGCAACACCTTGGAGCTGAAGAGCAGAATTATCAGGAGCACAGCAAGATTAAAATACATCGTACCTGAAAAATCAAGACACAGGAAGAGCCATTAGAGAGCCCCCCGGAGTTATTTCTCCCCAGAGCCAGCACTTGCCCCATCCACAGTGACCTGGGCCTACCACACTCTGAAGACTTTGAACCTGGGCCCTGTCCTGGCTACCCTGGTTCAAGCTGGAGGAAAAAGGAAGAGGAAAGTCTAAAGTCCACTCTCAAAATCTCCTACCTCACAATACTACAAACTGAAGAGCAAAATCAACAGAAAGGGAATAATTTTTTAGAAGTAGCTGAAAGTAGAAAACAGAGAAACAGTGGTCAAGATTACTGAAACATGAAGTTGGGTCATTGAAAAGAGTCATAAAATTGAGATCTTCTAGTAAGACTGATGATGCCCAGGAGAAACAGACACATTATCTCATCAGGATGGAACCAGGGGACCCATGGCTGATCCTAGATAAATCACAGGGATGGTAAGGGTATGTAGTGAGGAATTCTGCATGCAGAAAATTGACCCTGAAGAGTAGACAGTTCATCAAAAAACACAACTCCCTACAATTGGTTCAACCTAATGTAGTTAATGGGAATGGTTCTGTTAATGTCCAAGAAATCCAATTTAAAAGGTGGGAGGATTGATTTTGTTCCATTTTCAGAGGTTTCAGGTCATGTTTCCGGGCTCTGTTGACTCTTGACACCTGGGTAGAGAGCATCCTGGACTTGGAATCCATGTGATATGGGTTACTCAGGATGTGTCATGGGGTTTATTAAGGGAAACAGAGAAAGAGAGAGAGAAAAAAATGTTTCGGGCAAGACGGAGCTTCCTAAACCATGCTCCAGTGACCTAATCCCTCCAATTTGGGCCCCTTTTCCTAAAGTTTCCAGAACCTCCTCAAATGGCATCAGTGGCTAGGGACCATGCATTTGACATAAGAGGAGTACTATGTGGCCCAGAATCTTAAGAGATGCTGAATTCATCATTTTTAACAATTTTGTTTTTTTTGGTGGTTTGAGGGCTTGAACTCAGGGCCTTGGCATTGTCCCTGAGCTCTGTTGCTCAAGGCTAATGTGTTCTACCCCTTTGAACTATAGTACCACTTCTGGTTTTTGAGTGTTTAAGTGGAGATAAGAGTCTTCCCCAGGCCCAAAGTACAAGCCCCATGACCAACCAAAAAAAAAAAAGAAAGAAAGAAAGAAAGAAAGAAAAAAGTCTCAAGGGCTCCTGGGCTGGCTTTGAATGATGATCCTCCAACCTCAGCCTCCTGATTAGCTTTGATTACAGGCATGAATGATGGGCTCCTGGTTTTCAAAGATTTTTTAATACCCAGATACTTTCACAGGAAAATGTTACCATTTAAAGATGAATTAACCCTGATGCCTGTAATCCTAGCTACTCAGGAGGTTGACCTCATAGGAACACAGTTTGAGATCAGCCTTGGCAAGGGAAGTTGTGAGATTCATATTTCCAGCTAACCATCAAAAAGCCAGAAGTGGAACTGTAGCTCAAGTGGTAGAGTGCTCACCTTGAGCATAAAAGCTCAGAGACAGTATCAAGGACTTGAATTCAATCCCAGGAAGGGCATGCACATGTGCATGTGCACAAACACACACACACACACACACACACACACACGAATTAAAACAAAAATTGTTTTTAAATATATATACTGTTATTTACTTGTTTATTTAGTTTGTTAGTTTAATCTCCATACTAGGGCTTAAATTCAGGGTCTGGACACTGTCCCTTAGCCTTTTTGCCCAAGGCTAGTACTCCACTAATCGAGTCACAGCTTCATTTCTAGTTTTTTGCTGATTAATTGAAAACAAGCACCTCACAGACATTTCAGCCCAGGGTGGCTGCAAACCACAATCCTTTGATTTCAGCCTCCTAGGACATAGGATTACAAATGTGAGCTACCACTACCTAGTACTCTCTTTTAGATGTGGAAGAATTATTTTAAATCTTATTAACTATGAGAGTGATATTCTTTTTGTAGGACAATGTCTTTAATCACTTGGTCACTCAACTCTGGACTCTGTTTGCATTGGATGTCCAGCCAGGCCTGAACTCTTAGTGGATGTGATTATGCATCTTCTGTTCATTTCTCTAGCAATGAAATTGTTCTTTGCTTCTTATCTTTACTTTTCCCACAATCAAACCACTGACCCAGCATTGACCCAGAAGATTAGTCTCCCAACACTCATTGTGCTGGGTGGATCCTGGTCTTTTCAAAAAGAGGAAAAGCGCTCTTGTATTCCATGGCAGGGAAATAACACAGAGTGGTTCTAGGAAGGATTGTAGCCAGCCACTGGGGCAGTGAGCACTGGAGGGGAGCATTTCATTCATCAGCACACATCGGCTTTACAGGCTGCTGGTGGCCAGGTCCTCAAGAACCTCAGATGTCCTTTGATAAGCTCGTGTAATCCCCTGTTCTAAGGGCAAGAAGTCATCAACAGCACCCCAACTGTTCCCCAGTCCTAGTTTCCTTGTCTGTGAAACCTTTAACTCATAAGGTGTTTAAAGGTGGCAGAAGCTCAAACAGAAACGTTTCTTTCCATGTTGTGGATATATAGTGAGGGTCCTGGTGGATTTTGATCCATTGGAGACACTGAGGCTCTGTTCTTCTGGTCATACTGAAGCCTGGCTCCTACTGGCATTCAGCAGGGAATCTGAGTCCGTCAGGTGTCTCCTCAGTACAGCTTGTGAAAAAAGACATCAGGAAATCATGACCTGTCCCTCTTTGTCCTGGTGCTGCAGCTTGTCCTCAGAGAAGAGGAGGGACAGGAGGAATGAGGTAAAGCTTGGAGGGAGTAAAGCCTCAGCCTGGGATGCTCCCTGCTCCCCATGGCTTTCAGAGCAAAGCCAGTCCTCAGTGCTGTGGTGTGAAAAGAGAGCTCGGCCGTCAAGCAGGAGTGCTCCCTGAAGACAGCAGGCCTTGCCTGACCTGTGAAGGGAAAGTCAATCACACTGTCTGGCCTTTCTTCATTGGAGCCAAGGGGCTTGGCTGTGGCCCAGGAAGACCAGGGGGTGAAGGTCCCAACTGGACAGCCCTGGAACAGGGAGACCAGGGACTAGATGTCCCCACTGGTCAGCTGTGGGGCAGGGAGACCAGGGAACAGATGTTCTCACTGGCCAGCGATGGTCTAGGAAGACCAGAGGATGAATGTCTCCACTGGCCAGCTGTGGAACCTTGCGGCAGGTCCTGTGCAGACCTGGGCTTCCCTGGCCCACAGAAGGTCATCAGAGCATAAACATGAGCACCACCCCTGCTTCTAGGCTGTTGCTGACAGAACGGAGGGCATTATTCTGGTTATATCGTCTCACTCTAGGGGACACAGGCACCCACACTACTCACCACTCACAGACAGCTCAGTGCCTGGACCAGACTTAAACTCCTGGTCCCCCTCAGTGGCTGTCTTCTGGAACTTCACGCAGTAGTAGGTGCCCGCGTCTGCTGGGGTGATGTTCCTGATGCGGATGGAAAAGTCCATGTTGCCTCTCTGGGTGGGATCTGAAACTGGTGTGACGCGTGTATGGTAGGGCTCTTGGAACTGGAAGATCAACTCTCTGCTTTGTCCTTTCCCCCTGAACCACTGGATGGGTCCCACAGGGCGCAGGGAGGTCACAGTGCAGGGCAGTGTGACCATCTCTCCAGCGGTGACAGACACTAATCTGTATGGCTGTATCACCTGCAGCTCCCCATCTTCAGCTGCTCCGGGGGGAAACACAGCAGTTATTCCTCCTGACAGGACCCTGTGAGGTTCCTCAAAGTTTAATCAACCCTGACTCTCACTAACCAAGAATATAACATGAGCAGAGCACGCAGCCTGTGTAATCAGGATGAAATCTCATATGGGCTAGTAATATAAAGGAGAAACTGAGGTACAGAGAAGAAAATATAATGGGAGAGCTCAGTTTTGAGTCCCCTGCAATACTCATGGTTTCTGTCCACATGGTGTCTTGTACTTCCTGGTCCATGATAGTGGGTGGGTCATGTGAAGAATAAGCATGAAGAAATGAGCATGGGTAGCAGCACAGAGAATGGGCCTGAGAACAAGAGACTCAGGGTCAGCTTCTCTCCTCCCCAGAGTGCCACAGGTACCAGGATGCTTTTTCCCATCAGGCTGGAGTGACAATGGTGCTCAGAACTCCCTGGATAAAGTCATGCCAAACTTGATCAAATATAACCCCACAGACCCAAGATGTAGAATTAGCTCCATCTAGTTCAACTCAGTAATCTGGGAAAACTGAATGTCTACAATCAACAGAATAAATTCACAGCTTTACCTTGTACTACATGCAAAAAATAGCTCAAAATGAATCAAATACCTGAATGACAACACTAAAAATAAAATTAAACTCCACACTCTGAGAAAAGAAAATATAAGTAAACTCAAAACATAAGCACACTCTTTATAACATCAGATTCAGCAATTATTTCTTTCATATGACAACAAAGTCACAAACTTACCACCAGAGGAAAGAATAGAAAAGGATCAAATATTTGCAAAGCATCGATGTCATAGGTGACTGCAATCAAGGAAACATAAAGAGACAGAGACCAGTGGCAAGGCACTGTGATGACCCAGAGAGTTTCAATGGTGCCACCAGTCAACCCACAACCAATGGGACAGAGTTGCAAGACTGTCTCTGTGGCTGCCCAGGCCTCTGGACCTAGTCTGCAAGCTGCAGTATTCTGACACAGAGATTTGCCACTGGGCTGCTGGTCAGTCCATAGCCCATCCCAGGATCAGTAAGCACCCTCTTACTGAGACCCCTCCCCTCTGCCCACAGGAGACCACTACTGGTGGTCACCCACAGAAGCTTGGTCCAGATGACTTCCTCCTGCCCAAGAAGGGACACCACAGTGGAAGAGAATAAAGGGGCCAGAGCCCTTCCTCGCTCCTCCCACTCCACCTACTAGCTTCTAGCAGAAAGCCATCACAATTATGGTGGGTGGGACCAAGGACCCTGCAACCTCCACAACCCTAGCAGCAGGGAAACCTGGCCTGTTTGAAAACAACATAGACAAAATTCCATGCACCAATGGGCGGCTGCCCCTTCTGAACATCTGGCCCATCCCAGAGGCCTGAAGCTACTCTCCCCAGCCTCCAGCAGCAAGCAGGCCCATTTGAGCAGCTGCTGGCAGATCACTCCCCTGGACCCTTGCACACACACACACACACACACTCTCCCCTGGAACCTTGCACATACACACACACTCTCCTGGACCCTTGCACACACACAAACTCACACACACATGCAGAAGCCACCCACCAGGCAACAGCCACCTGAGAGGAAGAACCAAACCAGGGTCAAAGTGCAAACAAACTTCCTTTCTGCTTCCGAAGCATGCACTCATCCCAAGACCTGAATCTGATCTTCCCAGGACTGCTGCATATGGGACTGAGAGCTTTTCAGCTACCCTTGGGCCAAGCACACATCTAGTTGCTTTCTGACCCAGGGACCCAGTGCGGTCTAGTCCATCCGGTATGAGCTAGCCTGGGCCAAGCAAGGGCTGTCATCTCTTGGGTGCAAACAAAGCCAGGCCCTGGCCACAGTTCTGACAATCCCTGAACCCAAATGCATAAATCACAATAAAAGATTACAAGATTCATGAACAATAAAGACAATAAGCCAAATTCAAAAGCCAACAACAATTCAGTGAAGGACCACAGTAAGATTGAAGAAGAGATGGAGGACAAAAGAACCATTAAAGAAATGATGGCAGAAATGGCCAATGAAATAAAGGGAGATGCAAAAACAATTTCAAGAGTACAGAGAGGGCTGGGAAGGTGGTTCAGTGGTAGAGCGCTTGCCTTGCATGCCTGAGGCCCTGGGTTCGATTCCTCAGCACCACAAGCGGAAGTGGCACTGTGGCTCAGGTGGTAGAACTCTAGCCTTGAGCTGAAGAGCTGAGGGACAGTGCCCAGGCCCAGAGCTCAGGCCCCACGACTGGACCCCCCCCCAAAAAAGAAAAAAATGACAAAGAAAATCCAGAACTCCCAAAAAGAAATGGAGACCAAATAGACACACTATACACCTCATTAAGATAAAATTAACACTATGAGAATTGGTCTCAGAAGCATAAAAGGTTCAATTTCCACAATGCAAACCACATAGGTAACAGAATAAGTGAAATGGAAAATAGACAATGAGGAGTTGAGGATAAAACAGTGGAGCCAGAACAGAAAGCCAAAGGTATGGGAAAAACACTCAGAACTACCAAAAAGAAATACAAGGGGCTGGGAAGGTGGCTCAGTGGTAGAGCACTTGCCTTGCATGCCTGAAGCCCTGGGTTCGATTCCTCAGCACCACATAAGCAAAAAGAAAAAAGCTGGAAGTGGCGCTGTGGCTCAAGTGGTAGAGCGCTAGCCTTGAGCTGAAGAGCTAAGGGACAGCGCCCAGGCCCAGAGTTCAGGCCCCACGACTGGACCCCCCACCCCCAAAAAAAAAGAAATCCAAGAATTTACAGACTCAGCTAAGAAATCAAATTAATGCATAATTGGGATCGGCAAGGGGAAAGAATTTAATAGTAAAGGCATCGAAAATCTATTCAGTAAAATAATAATGGAGAACTTTCCCAATCTTAAGAGATAAAATCTCACCTAACAGAAGCATATAGAATTCCTAGTAGACAGGATTAAAAAAAAAAAACAACCACTTTTTGGGCTGGGAAGGTGGCTGTGGTAGAGAGCTTGCCTTGCATACATGAGGCCCTGGGTTCGATTCCTCAGCACCACATAAGCAGAAAAAAAAGCCAGAAGTGGCTCTGTGGCTCAAGTGGTAGAGCACTAGCCTTGAGCTGAAGAGCTGAGGGACAGTGCCCAGGCCCAGAGTTCAGGCCCCACGACCGGATCCCTCCCCCTCAAAAAAAGAAACACTTCTTGATACATCATAGTGAAAATATTAGATTTGTAATAGCAAGGAATTGCTTTTAAAGGCTGAAAAATCAAAGAAGGAGCTATATTATAATGGAATGAAAATCAGAATCACTACAGACCTCTGTACACAAATCTTCAATGCAAGAAGATCCTGTAATGCTATAACCCAAACCCTGAAGACCAACAACTGCCAATCCAAACTGGTAGATCCAGTGAAGGTATCATTTACATTTGATGGTGAAACCAAAATCTTCCATTAGAAACAAAAATTAAAGGAATTCATGAAAACTAAACGAGCATTACAAAGAATACTAAAGGGAGGAATACAATCTGAAGAAAACCATCAAAATCAGGGAAACACATCAGACAAAAATTACTAGAAGACCAATTTAGTAAGCACAGGAAGAGGAAAGAAACAAAATACAGGAAATCAAGAAAATATCAGGAAATAACACATCTCCCTATGCTAACCCTAAACATTAACGGATTCAATTCTCCAATCTAAAGAAAAAGGACAGCAGATTGGTTCCAAATAAATATCCATCCATTTGTTGCCTCCAAGAGACCCATCTCACAAAGATAAAAATCAATTCTGAGCCGGGCATTGGTGGTTCACACCTGGAATCCTAGCTACTCAGGAAGCTGAGATCTGGGGATCATGGTTCAAAGCCAGCCCGGGCAGGAAAGTCCATGAGACTCTTATCTTCAGTAAGCCACTCAGAAAACCGGAAGTGGCTCTGTGGTTCAAGTGGTAGAGCACTCGCCTTGAGCTGAAGAGCTGAGGGACAGCACCCAGGCCCAGAGTTCAAGCCCCATGACCAAAAGTACAAAAAACAAAAAACAAATTCTGAGTGAAGGGATAGAAAAAGGTCTTCCATGCAAATGCTCCCTGCAAGAAGGCAGGAGTAGCCGTATTGATATCTAATAAAATAGACTTTTCATTAAAATCAGTACAGAGACAGAGAACATCATTACCTATTAGTAAAAGGAATGATCCAGGAAGAGGAAATCAGAGTGGTCAATATCTATGCACCAAACAATGGCTCACCTAAATACATTAAACAAATACAGAACAAGATAGACCCAAAGACAATAGTGAGAGATTTTAATACCTCACCAAATAAACGCTAAGCCAAGAAGCCTCTGAACTAAATAACACCATAACCCAAATGGACTTAATAGGCTTCTACAGAGTATTCTCACCCAACAATAACCCAATACATATTCTTCTCAGCAGCCATGGAACATTCTCCAAAATAGATCATATCATAGTACACATAAAGAACCGAAGCAAATACAAGAGGATTGATATAAGTCCTTGCATCCTCTCTGACCACAGTGGAATCAAATTAATTCTTAACAACAAAATAGACTGCAGAAATCACTCGCACATGGTGGCTAAATAACACACAAAAGAAATTAAGGAAGAAATTAGGAAGTTCTTACAATTTAATGAAAACAAAAACACATTGTAATGGAACCCCTGGAGTACAGCAAAAGCAGTACTGAGGGGAAAGTCCATAGCCCTAAGTGCACACATAAAGAAAACAGAAACATCTCAAATAAATAACTTCGTGATGCAATTACAACTGCGAGAAAAACAAAAAAATCAAATTTAAAACTAGTAGATGGAAAGAGATAGCAAAGATTAGGGCAGAAATCAATAAAACAGAAACTAAAAAACTATACATAGAATTAATGAAACAAATAGCTGGTTCTTTAAAATAATTAATAAAATGTAGAATTTGGCGATCATTAATGGTAACATGAAGTGGTATAATAAAGAAACTCCAATAACAAAAAATTTAATAAAATTGGCAGACCACTTGCGGGATTAATGAAAAAGAGAAGAGAGGAAATTCAAATCAACGAGATCAGAGATGCCACAGGAAATATTACAACATCCAAGAAATCCAAATGATTCAAAACCTATACTCACTAAAGAAGGAAAACCTAGCAGACATGGATGAATTTTTAGAAACAAAGAAGTTGCCTAAACTGAACCAAGAAGATAAAAACCAGCTAAACAAACCAATAACATACAACCAGATAGAGGAAATAATCAGAAGTCTTTTAGTAAAGAAAAGCCCAGGCCCAGATGGACTTGCTGCTGAATTCTATTAGACTTTTAAAGATGAGCTAATACCAACACTCTTCAAGCTTTTCCATGAAATAGAAGCAGAGGAAACAAACCCAAACTCATTTTATGAAGCCAATATTACACTAACCCCCAAACCAGGTAAGGATCCAACAAAAAAAAGAGAACTACAGACCAATTTGTCTGATGAACACAGATGGAAAGCTCTTCAATAAAATATTTCCCAACAGAACCCAGAAGCAAATCTTAAAAATCATACATTATGAAGTGGTGCTGTGGCTCAAGTGGTAAAGTGCTTGTCTTGAACTGAAGAGCTGAGGGACAGTGTCCAGGCCAAGTTCAAGCCCACAAGCAAAAAAAAAAATCATACATTATGACCAAGTAGGCTGAGGGGGTGGGGATGGGAGGGCAATGATGGTAAGGGGAAACAGAGGAGGAGGCATCAATGCTTGATAAGAAATGTATTCATTACCTTGTTCGTGTAATTACAGCCCCTCTGTATGGTATTTTCATAATAAAAAAACTTATTAATAAAAAAATGACCAAGTAGGCTTCATCCCACAGATGCAAGGCTTGTTTAACATATGCAAATCAATAAATGTAATTCACCATATCAACACAGCCAAAGACAAGAACCACATAATCATCTCAATAGGTGCCAAAAAAAACCCTTCAACAAAATACAACACCCATTCACAGAGAAACTAGGAATATAAGGAACATTCCTTAAAACAATAAAGGTTTTATATGACAGACAAACAGTCAACATCATACGAAATGGGGAAAAACTAAAGCTATTTCCCAAAAGCCTGAAACAAGACAAGGATGTCCACTCTCTTCTCTCCTCTTCAATATAGTTCTGGAACTCTTCGCCAGAGCAATAAGGCAAGAAAAAGGCATAAAAGGGATCCGCATACAGAAAGAAAAAATTAAAATATCCTAACTTGCAGATGGCATGATCTTATACCTAAAGGACCCAAAAAGCTCCACCCCCAAACTCATAAAGCTGATTAACCACTTTGGAAAAGTAGCAGGATACAAAATTAATCCACAAAAAGCAGTAGTCTTTCTGTTTGCCAACAATGTACAAGCAGAAAGAGAAATCATAAAAAAAATCCCATTTGCAATGGTCTCAAAAAACATACCTAGGAATTAACCTAACCAAAGATGTAAAAGATCTTTATAGCAAAAACTATAAAAATCTAAAGAAAGAAATCAAAGAGGACATCAGGAAATGGAAAGACCTTCCATGTTCATGGATAGGCAGAATCAATATTGTGAAAATGGCAATGCTGCCAAAAATGATCAACAAATTCAATGCAATCCCCATCAAAGTTGCAATGACATTCTTTACCAAGACAGAGAAAACCATCCAAAAATACATATGGAACAACAAAAGACCTAGAATAGCTAAAGCAATTCTAGGCAAAGAAAAAAAAGCAATGGGGCAATATCACAATACCAGATTTCAAGCTCTACTATAGAGCCATAATAACAAAAACAGCTTGGTATTGGCATAAAAATAGACCCAAAAGATCAATGGAACAGATTAGAAGACCCAGAAATAACAGTGGGATTACCTTTACATACATCAGGTAATAAGTTCATTTCCTTTTGCCTAGTGTCATCTGTTCCCTCATTCTCTTCCCTTCTCTTGCTCATCTTCACCCACGAGTGGCATAGTTCACTTTCATCAATATCTCATGCAGCCAATGTGTTTCACTGCTGCACTTTTCACCTCTTTTCTCAGATTCGGTGTCCTCCCCCGGCCCTCCCACAGATGTGCATATGAATACACAATAAGGTAAAGAATGCAAAGTCATCAGAGACAAAAAAAAATTTAAGAAAAAGGTGCTTTGTTGCCATATCTTTGAAGTTCGTTGCAGTATGTATATTATTTTAAAATATGGTGCTGTAACAGAGTTTGAAATCTGGTATTCAGGCTAGAAGAAAGAAACCTAGAAACCTAGGAGGCTGTGGGTGTAGCCAATGGTAAATTATGGTTTAACATGAGTGAGGCTCTAGATTCAATGTCCAGCTGAGAAGCTAAAAGAGCGAAGGAATGAGAAAGAGAGAGGATAGAGAGAAAAAAGGAGAAAAAGAAGGCAGGAATGGAGGAAAAAAGTAGGAAAGAAAGGGAGGATAAAAGAAAGAAAAGAAAGGAGACATGAAAGGGAGTGGGGGAGGCATAGAAGGATGAAGGAGGGAAGGAAATGATAAGAGGAATAAACGTGCAATATGGGCCTGAGTTCCCATTTCAGTGTATCCACGGACACAACATAGGTGACAATAGAAAATTTACACTCTCTGCCTCAGTTTCCCAATCTGGAAATTGGATAATATCACAGGAATGAGTTGAGGAGAATGATCCTGAGCCCCAAGAAGCTCATGAAGATCAGAGTACTGGCCTTTCCCAGGGGCTCATCTCATGAAGTTTTTTCTTTCTTTTAAATTTATTTGTTATTATACAGATGATGTCCAGAGGGGTTACAGTTATATAAGTCACATGAAGAGTATATTTCTTTTTGGACAATGTCACCCTGTCCCTTCCTCTCTTCCAGTTTTTCCCTCCTATCCCCACCCAAAAGTTGTATAGTTGATTGTCAACATAGTGTCTAGTGAGTATCACTGTTTCATTTGCTCACCCTTTGTCCCACCATTTCTGCGCCTCACTTACCCTCCAAAAATCTACAAGTAAACACAATGTATCGTAAAAAGAAAAAATATACTGGGATATGAAAAATTATACTGTCCTACATATATACTCTCTATATACTCTATAAGCCAAAGGAGGATATTTTAGGAGAGGATCATATAGGTGCAATAGCTATGTGCATCTGACCACATAAAACAATATTTATCGGGCTCAGAAGGTGGCTCATTGGTAGAGCGCTTGCCTTGCATGCATGAGGCCCTGGGTTTGATTCCTCAACACCACATAAGCAGAAAAAGCCGGGAGTGGTGCTGTGGCTCAAATGCTAGGGAGCTAGCCTTGAGCTAAAGAGCTGAGAGACAGCGCCCAGGCCCAGTGTTCAGGCCCCATGACTGCAAAATAATAATAATAACTTTTAAAAGCTTTATTTATTAACATGAACTGCAAGAATTGGAAACAAGAATTTTTTTCTCTTTCTTGCTGTTTTCGTTTTCAATTGTCTGGTTGGTTGATTCGCCGTGTGTTGAGACTTGCTCCTCTGAGATGATGTCTAGCATGAGCTATGAATATGGCTTGGGACTCTGATTCTAGTTCTGGTCCTGACCATGTCTGGGATTTGGCTCTCACCTGTGAAAAGGGGTTAGGATGGGTGGTGGATGGTCTATGTGTGCAGAGAATCATGGGGTCAGGAGGTAGATAGAAAACCCTGGACCAGACAAGAAACCCTCACTGCTCCCTCACCTGAGTCTCCATGTGACCCACAGGAGAACTGAGCCTGGGTGAATGACCCAGCTCTGCCAAGAGCTTCAGCACCTGTGAGAGCAAGTGCCTAATCCAGGGTGAGGACACAGAGCCAGGGCAGAGGCTCAACCTCACAGCCCCTCCCTCCAGGGCAGGCATTCAGCAGAGAACCTGACCCTCAGGAGTCTCCTCAGTGGTGCCACTGAAGAAGACATCAGGAAATCAGGCCCTGCCCCTCACCTCCCTGGCCACAGTGGTCCTCATGGGACAGACCAGAGTGACCAGGCACAGCTTGACTGCTCCCTGCTTCTCCATGCATTTCAGAACAGAGCCTGGCACACAGTAAGTCCTCAGGGCTGTGGCATGAAAAGAGACCTGGGCCACCAAGCAGAATGCTCTGGGGAAGCAGGGAGCCAACTCTGACCTGTCTCATCTTTCTTCTTTGGATCCAAGGGACTTAGCTGTGCAGCAGGAAGACCAGAGAAGAGAGAGGTCCCCACTGGCCAGCTGTGGAACACTGCAGCAGGTCCTGTGCAGACCTGTGCTTCACTGGCCCACAGAGGGAAGACCAGCACATGAACACCACCGCCCAGTACCACCCCTGCTTCTAGGCTGCTGCTCACAGAACTGAGGGTGTCATTCTGCACATACTGTCACACTCTAGGAGACAAAAGAAGCCGCACTGTACTCACCAATCACAGACAGCTCAGTGCCTGGTCCAGACTTAAACTCCTTGTCCCCCTCAGTGGCTGTCTTCTGGAACTTCACGCAGTAGTAGGTGCCCGCATCTGCTGGAGTGATGTTCCTGATGCGGATGGAAAAGTCCACGTTGTCTCTCTGTGTGGGATCTGAAACTATTATGATGCGTGGGTTGTGTTGTTCTTTGAAATGGATGATCAGGTCCTGTCTTGGTCCTTTCCCCCTGAACCACTGGATGGGCCCCACAGGGAGCATGGAGGTCACAGTGCAGCGCAGCATGGCCGTCTCTCCAGCGGCGACAGACACCGCCCTGTCAGGCTGGATCACCTGCAGCTCAGCTGCAGCAGTTCCTGGAGGACACACAGAAGTTATTCATCCTAATGGGACTCTGTGAAGTTCCTCAAAATTTAATCAACTCTGATTCTCACTGACTGAGTGTATAACATGAGCTTGTCACGCTGCCTATGTGGCCAGGGTGAACTTTCACAGGAGCTTGTAATACAAAGGAGAAACTGAGGCACAGAGAGGGCTATACACATGGGAGAGCTCAGCTTTGAGTCCCTGAGTCCTCTGCAGGACTCATGGTTTCTGTCCACATGCTACATTGTACTTCCTGTCCATGATAGTGGGTGGGTCCTGTGACTCCTGGGGGCCATGAAGAAATGAGCATGGGTGACAGCCCAGAATGGTCTGAGAGCAGGAGACTCAGGGTCAGCCTCCTCCTCCCCAGAGCAACACAGTCTAGACTGACAGTGGTGGTCAGAACTCCCAATGCAATGTCACGCCAAATGTGATGAAACATAACCCCACAGACCCAAGATGCAGAAGGAACTCCATATAGTTCAATTCAATTATCTGGGAAAAGTAAATGTCTACAAGCAAGAGGATGAATTGGAGCCTTGTCTTGTATTTCATGCAACAATTAGTTGAAAATGAATCAAAATCCTAAATGTAACCTCTAAAACGAAAAAATACCCCTAACTCTGAAAAAAGATAACAAGTAAACGCAAAATGCAAGTAAATTCTTTATCGTATAAGATTTGGTAACTATTTCTTTCACATCAGAAAAAAGTGATAAACATGAATAAATTCATATGTTGTGCTTAAAAACAGATGAGAGAATAGAAAAGGAGAAAATATTTGCCAAATATCTATGTCAACAGTGACTGCTACCAAGAATATATAGAGAATTCCTACAACTGAATGACAAAATAACTCACACTTCACTTCTAAAAGAACAAGCACAGGAGCGTATGTTTCTCTATAGAGCAGTCAATCTCTATAGAGCAGTCAATGAGCACATGGAAAGATGCTAGACAAATCTACTTGCTGGGCCAGTTCATGACAATAAGAAGCCATTCCCATCTCTTAGAATCGTTATTACCAAGACAAAGGCAAAATGAAACAATAACCAGAAAATGATAAGTGTTGACAAGGGTGTAGAGCAACTGGAATCTTTTGGCCTTCTTGGTGGGAAAGTAAAGAAAGCAGTGTGGCTGCTGTGGAAACCAGTGGTAGTGCTGAGAAACTCTAAACAGAGAATTACCCAGTGGTGTAATAATTCTACTCTTAGGCAGATACTCCACAAGTTCAAAGCAGGGATCTGAACTAATCTTCATAAATAAATTATATTCACAATTGGGAAAAGACTGAAATAGCTCAAATGTTTTTCTACAGGTGAATGGATGGGCATTGGTAATAGAATATTACTCAGGCCTAACAGAAAATTAATTCTAATATGTCCTTCATGGATGAACCTTGAAAATATCATGGTAAGTAAAATAAATGAGACAAAAAGACAATATAGGTCTGGTTACATCTCACATAGACAAATTCACAAAGACAGAATGTGCAGAGGCTAGCAGGCCTGAGGGGAAGGAAGTTGATACATATGTGTGCAGAACTCAGTTTGGATATTGTTTCAGAAATGGGAAATGGGTGTGATGGTTATACAATATAGTGAATGTGGTCGATGTCATTGACTTGAAATCCTGACATGGCAACTTTTGTGTACAGTGTAGTTTTAAAACATTTAATATCAGTACACGTTAAGTGTACAAAAGGGGCTTCATCATAACATGTCCATACATGGGTACAACACACCCAACCAAACCCTGGAGTTTCTTCCACCTCTATGAGTGTTCCTCTTCGACATGTACCCAAATAATCTGAGCTCTTTCTCCTTGCTCTACTTGCTGTTGTCCTTTGCAAAACCACCCTTTGTGTGTGGATATAGGCACTGGCTGTCTCCTACTCCTTCTGCATGTTCTGGTGACTTCTGTCTGTCCTGTGATGGTCTGTGTTCAACCAAGCGCTAGAATAATCCTTTAAAAACTCATCTCAAGCTGAGCAGAGGTGACTCAGACCTGTGATTCTAGCTACTCAGTAGGCTGAGATCTGAGGATCATAGTCCAAAGGCAGCTCAGGAAGGAAAGCCTATGATACCTTATTTCGAATGAACTATAACAAATGCTTGAGACAAATCTATGTATCAAGTAAAAAAGAGTTGTCATGGCTTATGGCTTCAGAGTTCAAGATAGTTTCCATTCAGGATCAGTTGGCAGTTGGCCCTGTTACTTTGGGGCATATGGAGTGTCAGCACCTCATAGTCAGGAGGATGTGAGGGTCCAAAGCCTGATCATCTCAAGAATGGAGATTGAGACAGAAAGGGAAGAGACCAGGGTCCCTCCTCCTCCTTCAAGGATGTGTCCCCACCATGATCTGAGGACTCCCACTGGCTTCAACTCTTAAAGGTCCACAGCCTTCCAGTGGGGCCACTCAGGAGACCAAGCCTTTAACACATGGCAGATGAGAGGAGATTTCAGATCCAAAGTATAGCAGAGGTAGATACTGCAGGCAGGCGCCTCTGTGTCTTTACCTCCTCCTTCCTACTCACCTCTACCTTAGTAGATGGACACTAGCACACACACACACACACACACACACACACACACAGAGTCACAAATATCTGTAATAGGTGATCTGCTATGCTAGTATGTAAGGTTTTATCAAGAGTTCAATGAAACTATATTTTGAAAGTCAAAATATTTCACATGTAGAAAAAACATCCATCACTGTGACCCATGAGAACAGCAATGGGTTTTAACGTTGGTCCTTTCTGAGTTGTGCAACTGGCAGTGATCACACTGGGGTTTGCCTCCCTGCCTTCCTCCCTGCGATTCACCTCCACTGAAAGGCAGAGTGATATAACATGGCTAGAAGAAAGAAATCTGGAATCTAGGAGGGTGTGGGTGTAGCTAGTGGTAGGGTATGAGTTAACGTGAGTGAGGCCCTTTGTTCAATGTCCAGCTGAGAAGCTGAGGGGGAAGGGGAGGAAGGGAGAGAAATAAGATCAAAAAGAGGGAAGAAGAGAAGAAAAAAGATGGAAGATAGGGAGGAAGGAAGATAAAAAGAAAGGAGTGATGATAAAATTGTGGGAAGAAGGGATGGCAGGATGAAGGAAAGAAGGAAAGAAAGATAATGGAAGGAAAGGACAAGAGAAATAAACCTGTGTAATATGGGCCTGAATTTTAATCTCAGTGTCTCCACTGACCAAGGTAGTTGGCAAAGGACAATTTCCACTCTCTGCCTCAGTTTCCCCATGTGGAAATAATAAGAGTAGCTATCACAGGAATGAGTTGAGGACAGTGATCCTGAGCCCCAGGAAGCTCATGAAGATCACAGTGCTGGCCCTTCTCAGTGATCATCTCATGAAGTTTTTTCTTTCCTTTTTTAAAAAATAATTTTTTTGTGAAAATACTGTACAGAGGGGTTACAGTTACATGCGGAAGGTAATGACTGCATTTCCTATCAAGCACTGTTGCGTCCTCCTTTGTTTTTCCCCTACTATCCCTTTTTTTCTTCCTTTTAAATTTATTTATTGTTATTATAAAGATGATGTCCAGAGGGGTTACAGTTATATAAGTCACATGAAGAGTATATTCCTTTTTGGACAATGTCACCCTGTCCCTTCCTCTCTTCTAGTTTTTCCCTCTTATCCCCACCCAAAAGTTGTATAGTTGATTGTCAACATAGTGTCTAGTGAGTATCACTGTTTCATTTGCTCACCCTTTGTCCCACCATTTCTGCGCCTCACTTACCCTCCAAAAATCTACAAGTAAACACAATGCATCGTAAAAAGAAAAAATATACTGGGATATGAAAAATTATACTACCCTACATATATACTCCCTATATACTCTATAAGCCAAAGGAGGATATTTTAGGAGAGGATCACTTAGGTGCAATAGCTATGTGCATCTGACCACAT